TTCAATAAGACAGAGCCAGAGATCTCACTGCGTCGCTCAGTTTCATTCAGCAACGATAAAAGAGCCGAGCACAGATGGACACAGCTTGAAACAACGTTTTTATGCCCTTTTTTTTTTTTTACATCCTCAAGTCTTCTACATCTCAGAGGCAAAATCTGCATCTTGGTTGTTCATTACAGACTCCACCACACCTGCTTGCAAGCTTCCTCTTGTGTGTTTGAGCTGGCAGTGTCTGTGTGTGTGCACTCTATCTTCCTTGTTGCTCGCATTGCACCAAGCTCTTTGTCACTGTCAGCCATTTTACCTCTACCCGAGGTTACACATTAGATTAGACAAATCCAAATCAAAATGGATGGTCCCAGTATGGAGTTTTGTGTTAATCTAATCATAAGACATCATAACCCAACACATGTTGTTGCCAGCGTGGGATCACAAGAAAGAGTTTTTGGTGTTTAATTCAATCAAATGTTGTCTGAGAATCAGTCAAATCCTGTGGCACGCTCACACAGAAAGAGAAAATGGGGAGGGGGGGAAAAAAAAAATTGTACCTGTCACAGAAATTGTTTCCTCTGTTTTTTTATTTCCCCTCACTAAGACTGCTTACTAGACTCTCAGCTCATCTCTCCATCTCTGCCTCCCTCCCTCACACGCAGCCTCGTGTTGTCAGCAGCGCGGCCCTGTTCCTGTTGCCTTCCTCATTCTGACACCTGTCAGCATTTTCGTTAGTAGATCAGAGGACTGCAAACTAGAAATGTTCCCCGTGAATTTAGGGCAAGTTTGCAGCAGAAAAAATGTGAGGTTGCTCTTACTCTTTATTTAATTCAATAGTGGGAGGGGTGGGGGAAGTGCTCAACTGGCGTAAAGTTAGGGAATGTTTTGGTGCATGGGAGCAGAGGAAGGTGACGTATGGAAGAAGAGGGAAGAGAAAGAGAGAGAAAAGGTAGGGAGGGGAGGGGAAGGAGGAAATCAATTAGGAACAGTGAGACCCTACGGATCTGCTGATGGAAGAAGGGAATTTGGTGAAGTCTGCAGCCCGCATAGGGGGGCTTCCATTCCTGGGCTGCAGCTTCAGGCACACACCCACAGGGAGTGAGCAGATAGATGAGAGATATTCTCCAGAGGTGGAGGCCAAGGAATGTGTCAGAAATAAAAGAGGCCTGTTCCCTGCTCTGGCTAATTGAGCGGTCTTTGGGTCCCTGTGAGTCTAATAAACCAAAAGGAAAAGGCTTTTAGTTTTTAACACTTACATATTGACCTGGTAATAATCCTTAAAAACCAAGAGCACAAACCTCCAAACCCACAAATCAGACGCTGTTATACGACATCACGCTCTCTCCCTTTCTGAGGAGATGACTCGAGCGATTTAACAATACATGAATCTTAATCCTTATAAACCGTGGCTCATCCATATCCGGGACGGAATTAAAGTGTGAGTTATGACAATCAAAGGAAGTAAAAAATAAATAAATAATAAATAGATTTAGCTCTCTTTGTCACCAGCCTCCTCGGAGTCTGTTCTCTGGCTTCTCCCTTGACACTAATGGTTCTGCAAAGCCAAAGCCAGCATGTCGCGCACATTTTAACCAAACCCCCCCCCCTTTAACTTCACAGACATGCCTATAAAGATAAAGAAGAATTCATTTTATATAGCTCTTCTTCCTCTCAGTTTTTTCTTACAGCCATATCATCCATTTTTATTCTATTGGCAGATATGAGGGAGCTATTACATGTTTAAGATAGCCCTGTCTTTATAGATGTGAAGAGATTTAATGTAATTTGCTCTTCAGATACTTCTCTAAATCTAATCCACTGGGTGGAGGAGATTTCAGGATAGTTTTCTTTTTACAAAAAAAAAAAAAAAAGAGTACACACACGCCTCTTTAGAATCTTGGCAGGTATTTCAACCAAGACGAGACAGTTTTAAGTCGGAAAAAATATCTTCACGAGCACTTCTGTGAAAGTTACCTTGAAGGTGCACTGTAGTCTGAATTATGAATCACATTATTGAAACCACTGAAGAAGAATATATTATAGTGGACTGAGCTTAATAACCAGAACCTTGATTCAAACGGAAAGGAGAAAATACCCTCTGTGTGGTTTCACACAAAGAGGTTCCCAGTTAAAAGACCACCAAATGACAAGGACACAGGATCTTTTTGTAAAGGTAACGGCTTGTCTCCTGGGTAAACGACACCTTTACACAACACTGGGAATGGTAAACATTTGCACTGTAAAAGCCCGAGAGCTTAAACCTTCCTCCTTTCCCCCTCTCTTCCAGCCTTCCTTTGTTCTAAGCACTTATCAGCTCAAGAAAACAGAACAATAAAAACACACACACATAAAAAAACAAGGCTCTTCTACCCTTGCCTTGTGTGTGTGTGTGTGTGTGTGTGTGGGTGTGTGTGTGTGTTTGTTGTCCTTTGGCAATTGCAGTCTCTCCACTTGTTTTCTGCTTTTGCTGGCAGGAGAGGCGCACTGTACTACACAGTGACTCCCAGAAGACATCTTAGCAGCGGGGTGTTTAGCGAACATGCCTATTTGTTTTCTGACAATTCCCTCTATCCGCCGAATAGAGCCAGAAGACAGTGTCCACTTCTTGTCAATTAAGACAGATGAGCTCAAAGTGAAACCGACGCTGTCACACGACTGTAACAACCACCCTCCTCGGATAATCCAAACCTCCACTGTTCTATTTCTGCCTTTGTACTCAAGGCTCAGAGGGAAACCAGGCGGGGAAAAGAGGAGCTAGAGTTAAAAAAAAAAAAAAAAAAAAAAAAAAAGATGATGTACAGTCCTCATATACGAGAGTAGAGACAGATTCAAGTGTGCGTCATGCTGAATCTGCCCATCTCTGTCAGCCCTTTAACCATGTAATTAGCCCGCCGAGATGGTAATAGAGGGACGATTTCATTTGCTATGTCGTTACATTTCTGCATGTCTCAGTCACTTTGGACAATTCATTTAATAATTATGAACAGCTTCTCATTACATTCTGGTGGTGACCACTGCTGCTGACTGACTTCCTCCAAACAAAAGGAGGAAATATTCCAAAGCAGCCATTTTGTCAGGTTTATACAGAGGAAAAACCTCAGGCCAAAAATGAGTCCAATACAAAGGAAAGCCAATAACAAATCACCTAATTGTCATTCCAAACAGACCCTTTTGTTATCATCTATTCGTTCTGGTCAAAAGAGTGGACAACACTGTGAAATAGCCTCTTGTTTCTGTTTACCGGCGCCGAGTTGCTGCATTACACATTCAGAAGGCGATCGTCCATTTTGCTGAAACAGATACAATCATTGGCGGTGTTAATGAAAAAAGCTCGGCCCCAGAGCACTCTCTCCCCACTTGTAATATTCTTCGTGTACATCATCTCTAATTGTCTCCAACGATGAGACGCCGAGATGACTGGAAGACCTGTCAGTGTGGATTTTTTTATTTATTTCAAAAGGCGCATGATTTTTCCACCGCATGTGAGGTAATTTCAGCTGGCAACCAACAGTCAGCAAATTCACTTTTCATTGTTCATTACCGTCTGTTGCCGGCTAGAGAACACACAGTTGATTCTAACAGTCGCCATACTTCCTGACCCCCCATAAACGTCTCAGCTAATTCATTAGAGTACGCGGGCGAGCGGCCATGAAGCCATATCGTGTGACTCCATCCTGGATTAACATAAAGTGCAGGTTGCCTAATGTTATTATCTCCCAGTCAAACAACATCAGCGGCCAGATTGCTCCACGTGAAGCATCTGGTTAGTTAAATCTGCCAACCCAGAGCCTACACATGTCTGTCCCTGTTTCTTCAGCCACGCCCACACACTTCACAGTCTGCTGATAAAAATAGATAGAATTATTTGAAGAAGAAAAAAGAAAGAATCCCATAATCTCCATTCCTTTTCTTTCCGCGTTTTTTTTTTTTATAATGTGAGATTCCTTTTCTTTATCTTTTGCTCATTAAAATTTCTTCCTGTAAAAGCCAAGTAGGAAAATAGACGAGTAGGGAGAAAGTCGACAGAATTACTGGGGCAGTGTTAGGGAAAAAAAAAAAGAGCCCAAGTTTTGAAAGAAGAAGAACTAAATTTAGTTCCAAAAGAGAGCACCCAAAACGTTAACCTGAGAAAGTATGAGTGATATCTATAAGTGCTGTCCTCCAGAGTCTGCTTGTTGAAATAAAATGTCCAGTGTTTTTTCTCCACACTCCAAATAAAATTGCTAATGTGAGTCATCCTTGGAATGTCTGCAATTTCCACACAGTCTGCCTCTGCTCTGCTGAAGCTCTCGCACCTGTGCATGTGGCGCTTCCTTTGAGCTGGGTAAATAACCTCAGGTGCATATAGTAACATCCCGGCTTGCTTTATCAGACAGCTTTATCCTACTTCCTCCCTCTCTCTCTCTCTCTCTCTCTCTCTCTCTCTCATACTGACCCACTCTCTCCCTTCGCTCTGACTGGCAGCAGTTAAGAACGAACACGACCCCTTACGCCGACTTCTGCCAACCAAGTGGATGTCTTTTTAAACGGTGAGTCAGAAATGAAACATCAACATTAATTCCCCACTAAATGATCCCGCTGAATAATGGATGAGGGCACGTGGAGATATGTAGATTTCCACCTTCTACCTTTCTGAGCCTAATTGCTGCCATTCAGGCACATCTGAAGTCGGGCGCACTTCAAGAGTAGACATGGCTACTATCAGTCAATAATGTTGCCTAAGCCAGTATCAAAGGGGAGTCTTAGCTGTCAGAGATCCTGCACATTAGCGGCTCTGGCGGGACTTCAAAGACAAAAAAACACTGTGCTGTTATTCATACTTGCACATCTGAAAGCAGTAATGCACCTTAAAAGATGCTCCGGTGGCATAAACACAGACTCTCACAAACTCATGTTGGTCTTATCTTGAAAATGGCAAAACACACTCAAAATGAAGGAGGACTTCACTGAGCACAAACAGTGAACACACACAGATTTTCTTACCTTGGTCAGGCAGCTGGCAAACATTAGGGGGCACGGTCATGTTCAGCACGTCATTGACAGCCGTGTCAACATAGTGTCCTCTCTGGACGTCGTGTTCGCTGTCGGTCTGGTCGCTCTCCTCGTGTCCGCTGTCCTTCAGACTGTTCCCCTCCAGGTCCTTGAATGTCGATGTGCTACATGGGGGCCAGAAGGGGGGAGCGGGAAATGTTGATTAACTGTCACGTCACCTTTTTCACCTTTTCTCACATGCACTCCTTTCATTTTGTTTTGGCTGTCCGTCCATTTCTCTCTTCTGTCACTCCTATGAATTCTTTGCCCTGTTGCATGTTCCTTATCAATGAATTCGACAGAGGCGAAAAGTTTGTTTTCTTGATGTTTCAAGTCTCAATAAAATGCTACACTTCTACAAAGAACAAAGCCTTGCTCAAGCTTCTACACCTGCAGTAATGATGAAATAAGGAGGACGTTTAAGAGAGCGTTTTTTTTGTAAGTACACATTTTTAACTTCACAGATAGCTTGGCCGCTATGGGCTGTCTCAGACGGGGGACATTTGTGGATGGATGCACTGACTTCAAGGACATCGCATTGAACAAACACGAGGCACTCACTCACTACAATCAAACAAATACTGCAGTAATCAGGAATTCCTGGAAGGAAGATGGATGTAGGAAACGCTGGAAGCATACAAACTGAGCATCTGTCTTGTTTGGGGCTCACAGTCAATAAAGAGGATGGGGATGGGGAGGGTTGGGGGGGTTACAATCAACAGCTGCACACTAACAGCGTGATTTCCCTTCATTTGATTCCCATCCCACTGGAACAAATTCTGCTTTACAAACAACACTAAATAGGGGTGGATATATGAACATGTGTTCCTGCAGGAAGGGGATAAAGTATGAATGAGGTCGTATGGGGAGAAAGGAGGTTAGAGGGAGAGAAAAGGAGGAAATGTGAGTAAACAAATCTGTGCAAACAAAAAAAAGGAAAGGTGGAGGAAGTGAAGGACAGTACAAGGTAGCTGCATTCTCCAGCCAAAGCCTCACATTCTGCAGCCTGGGAGAGAGGACTGCAGGTAATGCTGGCTCTCTGATGTTATCACTGTAATTGCACCTGTCCCAGACCATAGGCTCCCTGGCTCCTGAGGGGATTTCTTTGTAGTGTGCTGCAGAAGGCCCCACACTTGAATGCTCTTTGTTTACATTAATGCAGGGGAATCTTTTGGGGGGAAATTGCCATAATGGGTTTTCAAAAGGGCTGGGATAGCCTCAAACAAAAGAAGAAGGCTGGAATGATCCATGGCTGCAGGTGAAAAGGGAGCGATTGTAGTTTTTTTCCAAATGGGCCTCGTGAAGAAAACCTCAATGGCTGGAGGCAATTATTATATGACCCCCTATATTGACCCCCATGCAACCTTGCATTCCCACAGCACTATCTGATATCCCTGTGCAGGTGGACTGATATACAAAGAACAATGGAATCTTCATTTTTTAATCGTCATTGGGGTGCTTGAAACTGCTCTGTTGGAAAATCGTTCTCTCTAGATCCCTTGAACATTGTTTAATCATTGAGTAGTTGTTTTAACCTGATCACGCCACAAATCCACTAATGAACCAGGTTATAGAAAATTAACGAGGTTATCTGCAAAATGAGCAAATCATTACTTGCTCATACATTCTGCTTCTCTGCGCAGTCTAATAATCTGAGAATATGAGTTTGTGCCTCATTTCAACAAGTGCCTACTAAACACATTATGGAGGAATTCAAATCATCCCCAAAAATCTTATCCTCCCATTGCAATTACACTGAATGGAAAAACATGCAGGAACAAATGCTGCACCGGTAGCTGCGCGCTCATTAGATAAAACAATTACAGATAACAATGGTAACGAGGTGCTGGTAAGAGTTCCTAATCAACACATACCTTTTAATGAGGTGGGCTCTGCTGTTCACGTAACTGGAGTCAATGGAGTAATTCTCCGTCTGTAAGAGAGGGTAGGGGTTGGGGAGGTGAGCGGGTGGGGTGGGGTGGGGGTTGTGGTTGAGGGATGATGGGGGGGGCAAAGAGAGAGAGAGAGAGAGATACTTTTAATAATGGAAGCAACCAAAATAATGTTAGCTTGTAATTGGCTTTCAGTAGAAATGTTATTTTACACAAAGGCCCAGGTGAGCAGCCCGGGCTTTCAAAGGGCTGAATCCTATTCTCTTTCAAAGCACACACACACACACACACACACACACACACACACACTCAGAGGCTGACTGGGAGTCAAGAGCCGAGGAGGAAGAAGAGGAGTGCAGCAGTGAGCGCGTGCAGCCTCTCTTCTCCTCTTCACCCTCTCCCTCGCTCGCTCGCTCGCTCTGCTGCCGGTCAGCCCAACGTCTTTAAAATGGAGTCATTAGGGCGGACAGACGATCATGCAGACAGAGGGAAAAGAAAAGTTTCCCTTTATTCTTCCCTGAACTCTTCACTTTTTTTTTTTCACCATGTTTGAGGAGACATTAATGTGGAGCATATTAAATAAATAACTGCAAGAAAAAGTAGATGAAATTAAGAGTGTAGCGAGGGATTCTTAACTCCGCAATTGCAGATGAAAAGGCTCTCAGAATATGCATACGATAGATCTCTGACCCACATTAGAGAACACAGTTCAAAGGCATCCTACATTCATTTCCCCCCCCCCCCCCCAACATTTATTTAGCAGAGAGAATGTCTAAGGAGTAAGAGCACATGGACAGATGATTTAGTGTATGCTGAGCAGGTAGCCCCCTCCTGCGTCTGAAAAGCATCTCCTCACACTGGGTAAGATGTCAAAGGGTATCAAAGCCTCTCAAAGGACTTCCCCAGTCCTTTGAGAGGCCAGGATACGACCCTTTCGGCACAGTTTGATAAGATGCAGGTGTTTTCTACAAAATGAAAGCAGAGGCTTCACTTGAAATTCTACAACACAGATACTGTATCCTGATAGAAGCTGCAAGTCAATGGCTGACTTCCGAAGGGGAAGTCTACAGTATGGGTATCAAAGCCCTGTTGAAAAAAAAAAGAGTCACCCCTATGATAAGAAAGGTTAATGCAGGAGCACCACTGCTGATTAGCAAGTAAGCTACACGTCTGACACACGCCTGGTGATGAGCAGCAGATGTCATTCATGGTGACCGAACTGATTCGTTTTTTTTTTTAAAAGCAGCGAGCAGAAATCATCTGTATTGGATGTTAATGGAGTTGACCATTTTGAACTTTTCAGCGTCTGCACGGAAGGGAAACCCGATGCAGCAGAGTGTGAGCAAGGAGGACGGGGGCAGCAGAGGAAATGTCAAACATCATAGTCCCAGTCATCTTTGGATCCCTTTTGAAATAAAGAAATAAACGCATGAATAAATAAAATGCTGCCAGATCACAGAAGCCATTGCGTGGTGTTCACCTCTGGCTAATAGCTCCTATGACCTGTTTGTCGTTTATGAAAAATGTAAGAGCTTGTTAATGTTACCCAAAAAAAAAAAAAAAAACATGACATGACATGATCGTGTTTGTTTATTTTTTGGGTATTTTTTGGGGTATTTATGCCATTTTCACTTGTCTTCAAAGTGAACACATCATGCAGCATTACTGTCTGCCTGATTTGCTAGTCTCTATTTTTTTTAATTTCTGCAAACTTTCAGGAACTTATTAACGTCAGAGTTGAACTTATCGCTTTATATTCTAAAAGTGCAAAGGTCTTACTTCAATCATCAGCAGATGAGCTGCTGTTTACAATCTCACCACCTTTACTTCTAATTATTTCTGCGAGAAAATTGTACAATGATTAGCAACAACACAAGGGCAGGCCTCTGACTGGGAATCGCTAAATTATGATGCAATGTGTTTGCACTGAAGGTTAGCATCATTGCGTCTCCTTTTTACCATTTAGCCCTAATTAAACTTTAACACATTACTATACAGAAGATAATTTATAAAAGGAATTGAATTAACATTTTATTATTAGCCTTTCATTTGGAGCGCACCATGTTTGTTCTCTTGTTATTACCCCCCGACATCTTTGTGCTTCATTCAGTTTGACTCCATTAAATATCAAAGGTAACGACTGTGGCAACTTACTGCAACACAAATGAATCATTAATTACAGATTAACACATGACAAGGATTTAATTAATAAATGATGCCACAATTGAAAAAGGTATATGAGAAGCTTTTAATCCAAAAAAATGTCTTTCCTTTGAAAGATTTACACATCTATAATACTTCTGTATGCACTGTGTTCACCTTAGCTCCACTTTGGTCCACAAATAAACCTGCCTCATCTTCTACAGTGGTTGCACATCCAGAGAGAGGGACTAATGAAAATGCAAGGCATGAGTAACAAGGGGAAAACTTCATTTAAAAGACAAGATAGAAAATTTCTTGTGAATGTCACTCTGGCGGCAGCCTGTAATTGGTTTGGATGGCAGGTTGTGTGTGAGCACGGCCTAGAGAGGAAGGCAGTATGCCCCTGCTCTCAAGCTGTTCCAGTCCAGAAATGGAACTGTACTTTCCATAATGCAATTCTCATTCGGGGTTTTTACATGGAGCCCTCTTAAATGTGCAGTATCCTCTATGGTACTCGGCCATTCCTTGCTTTTGCTTCCCTCTGTTTCTTCCTCTACTGCTAGTCATTAATCACAGGATTCAGTGGAGATAACATCATTTCCTCTATTTATCAAATTGTCAGTGGAAATAAACAAACACCCAACATGTGAGGGCATAACCTTGGGCACTGATGAGTCACTCATGAGCGCCTATTCCGAGGGAGAATTGGAAGCATTAGCTCAGTCTTCCTGTAAAGAAATTTAACATCTGCTCCCACATTTTCTGACCGATCTCAAATTGGAGGACATGTCAATATAGCTTCCTGCAAGGTCAAGTTTCAGGCAAGAGGATGAGGACTGCTCAACTACAGTGAAGACGCCACAAATGGCTCTTTAATCAGGTTGGACAATGTGTTGTTGTGATCTGAGCGGCCCCAGTTTGACGGCCTGGGCCACTCTATCCCTGTAATTATTGTTCCGTTTCATCCTGAGGACTGCAGGGAGGGAAAGTAGTCCCTGGTGTCGCCCGGTGACGGATAGGTAGTGTCAGGATGAGTGCGAAGGGAAGTGGGAAAAGAGTGGAGGGTGAAGATGGGAGGGGTAAAGGGTGAGAATTGACCTCGGGGAGACTTGCGGTCCGGCTGCTGCAGCCCAGAAGCTTTTCCCCTTTTCACCCTTCTGCCTCTTTCTCTCCAGTACAAAAACCCGAAGCTCAGGGATGACGGGCCTCGCCTCTCTGCCACTGAGAGGAAAAGCAATCTCCTCGCCTAGTTGCTGCCGTAAGATTTGATTTGCCTTTCTCCCAGCGTGACAATTGGTTCTGTAGTCTGGATGCAAGTGTATTCATTGTGAGGGGGCACAGGGAGCAGCAGAGAGAAGAGGAGGAGTGGGGTGGGGTGGTGGTGGTGAGGCGGGAGTGAAGACGCCAGTTGTTACACCAGTAAACACCCGACAAGTTCAGCAGATGTCACACAGATAGGAGAGAAAAAGAGAGAAAAAAATGTCACACAGCTGCCCTTCTGTATGCATTATGGAGGCTGATAATGCAACAATATAACATTTTTACAAGGAAGCAAGCTGCAAAAATATTCACTGATGCAGCAGCATGCACAAAATTTCATTTGATTTTAGAAATGGATGCGAACAATAACATTATCAGCATTCTGTTTCCATTTCATAGACTTTGTTATTCTACGGGTTTATTCAAAGACAGTTGAGAAAATACTCCAGAATACTGATATTTGTCTGGAATTAAGACAAAAACAGCAAGATTTAACCTTGCTGAAAAACATATGCAAACGAACAGTTTTAAGGCAAACTTCACATTTGAGCTAAACTGTCTTTTAAGCATGACTTAATTTGTCTAAAATCAGAAGACATTTATGCAGCATAGATCTTGTATCTTTCTGCTTAAGATTCCAAATGTGTGCTTCGTGTCTGTAATTGATGAACCCCTTAATGTCATCAGTTTAAAAGATTAAAAAACATCCAGTCATGCTCAAAATGCTCTCACTGCCACATTTCAATGCACAGTTTGAACATACAGGACAACAGACGAGACAAAATCAATTAAAGCTGTCGGAACCAATTTTTGCCGCCTGGTTTCTGTGTTTGTGCAGCCTGAGGTTGTGCCTCAGCCTTTTTGTTTGTTGTTGCCGCAGCTCACTCATGGACTCCCCTCAGTCCCGGAAGGAAATGTTACACACAATGTGCCTTGTTATTGATACCCCACTGCTAAAGGAAGCCATGGGGAGAAAAAGATGCAGGGGGTTTACAGGGCAAGCCAGTTTCAATTAGGAAATAAAAAGACTTCATTATGGGGCAAGGTTGGGTTTTGGTGAATTTAAAAAAGGAGTGATGGGTAGAAAAAAATAGCAGTAACAGCATGTATTCCCCTCATGTAACTTTGCAGTGAGGCGTAGGTAAGTGTGTATGTGTGTGCGTCTTTGTCATCCTATCCACTGTGACTATGAAAAGAAATGCTTCACTCTGAGCTTCTTGCACATTCTTGCACACACACTCTCTCTCTCTTCCTGCTTCTCCAACAAAAGCACTCCTCCAACAATCCCTGAGTCGCTGAGCTGGCGTGCTCCCATCATGCTTCGGGGGTCGGTACCCCAGCAGCACCTAAATGCAGCTCACAATGGAGTCAGTGTGACACCCCATGACAAAGACTCGGACCACCGAGGCACGTTCTCCATGTTGGTTTAGAATTTATTTACCATGTGGGAAAGAAAAAAAACGCTCTTTGCTCGCTTTTGCTGCCATAACCCTCCACCTCCAACCCTCTTCCCCTAACGACCATCATCACCACCATCTTCCGCATTATAGAATTTCCCATAGCTGCTCTGCCATCTGCTAGATTATAGATTTCACTCTTCCTTTAGAGAGGGCAGGGCCCCACAGGGAGGATCAGCAGTAAAAAGGGTGAAAGAGTGCCTGAGGCGCAGCCATGGTTGAGGATGAGATTACATTTTCTATTTCTGCCCGCTAAAGGGGGCCTGCCATGATGAATACAGAGAGTTGTTACCATTTAATATCAAGCGGCTCGCCTGCATACTCAAATTATACACAATCAATTGTGACAGAAGGGTACACGTGTGACAAATAACCTGCCACATTCTCTGCATCATTTCACTTCATCACCCATCAATTCACCCCAAACCTAGCAGCCCATTTGGGAATCAATCATGTTGTGAAAGTGAGCGATTCGGCAGAGAAAAGGGGCTTTAAAGCTTCCTTAGCTCGCACATTTCTGCAGTCTTGAGAGTAAGTGCATGGAAAAACAAACAATCTGGCTGAATTAAATGCTATTATGAGGTCACTTATGCCCTTGACCACATGTGTTAAGTGTATTGTTTGAGCTGACCAAATAACAGGCTCTCTGGAAGCACAATGAAACAGACACGTAAACACAACAGCACTTCCTGCTGGCATTTCCCCTTCATTTTTCCTTTTTGCATCCTATTTTGCATCCTTTCCGTGCAAAATAGAACAATTATTTGCTTTGCATTGTGACCAAAACAATCAGCTCCCTGCTCTCATAAAGAGAGGAAAAAGGGCCAAAGGCAATAGCTCCTTACACTGTTGCATCCCCCCACCATCACTTACAGAGGAAACTGCAGACCACACGGCTGTCTTTTATTCTGAAAGCGGAGACGATACTCCAGACCAGTCTCCATGTCACTCAGGCCTACAGGCTCCACACAAGTCCAGTTAGCAGAGATGTGATTAATTATACATACATTGATAGAAACAACATTCATTATTCATGAGCATCTCAACGTCAAAGCTATTTCCCTCTCTTTCAGCATGATGAAAAGATTTTAAATAATAGGCCCCCTCTGCAGACGTCTGCATTCCAGCGGAGTCGGCTGACGCTAAAGAGGCTTAAGTCAGAGCTGTTGTCTTACCAGAGAATCACAGCTCTGCACCGACATGTTTCTAACTGTTGGTGGCTGTGCGGGTTCCTGGGGTTGATGTTTTTGTTTTGTCTTTGTCTTAAGAGACAAGACTGGTGCTTTTAAAGCCTTTCAGATGGAGTTATAGTGTCCACTAAGCATGAATAGAGGTCTGCAGCATCACCAGGCACACAAGGCAGGATTGAGTTTCACTGAACACCTGTTCAGCGCTCAGGTCTGTCTCTGTGTTTTCTAAGCTTATTCTATCTCAAAGTCAGAGAGAAAACCTGAGTATCTCTACAAGATTACGATTCATGGTTTTACATAGTAAAAAGGATGGGAGGGAGGAAGAAAGACTCTACTATCTGCGCTGTTTCCTAAGAGAAATCGGCTTACTTCTCTTAAAGCCTGCAGAGCCTAATCAAACTCAAATAGCAGGAACTTCCCCTTTAGGCAAGTCTTGAGGGATTTTCTTTAATTTGGATGTCAGATGGAAAAGTTTTCACACTCCTCTCATCCCAAAATCCGTTAATATGTGTATGCAGCCACATGAGAGGGGTAGGTAAGTAGGTGGGGATTTTTTTTTTCTAACACACTCCGGAAATGTTGAGGGTAATGTCTAATCCAGGTAGACTAGGAAGTTTCCTGGGCCCTCTGGGAACGAGCGCTACTACAAACATATGTTTTTAGCAGCCATTTAATTTCTGTGAGAGAATCACAAGATAGCATTTATCATCTCAGTTGTGCCCTATATTAGCCAGTGTGTGTGTGTGTGTGTGTGTGTGTGTGTGTGTGTGTGTAGAGGGGGGGGGAATCCCAAAGGGTTCTCCCGACACCCCTGGGTTAGGTCTTAAAAATAAACATTCAGAAACAGAGCAGATTATGTAAACACGTCGCTTTAAATGCTTACTTGAGAGCAGAGGCTGATTTAATTGGGTGACTTTAAGTCACTCTTAAAATGAGTGACTCATTTTTGAATTGAATCAATACACACGAGTGCAAAAGAAATGAGAAATCTGTACATTTGCAAGAAGTGCTGATCATCTTGTACTTTACATTTTCTCTTGGCGATCTCACTTTGGCTGCAAGTCACATCGGTGCAGCTGTAGTCTCCCTGTCTGTCTCCCATGTCTCCCTCCCTCCCTCTCTCTTTTTCTCCCGCTCCCTGTGACAAGGCATCTTTCCAGA